AGAGTTTTGGTGATTTCAATCCTTCATTCATGTGTTTGAAGAAGTATTTGCACCAGTTGTAGCTGGTGAAATGTTTCAGTTCTTCAGTCTTCAAGTACTCAAGCATGTTGAGTTTAGCCATAGGTGCTGAAGTTGGACACAGCAAGCCTCCGGTGACCAGTAGAAAGAACAATTGCATCCATCTCTTACTGTTTGTGGTTGTAGGAAGATCTTTTTCTACCTGACTTAGCTTTACCCTTGGAGTTGATGTTCCATCTACTTCGAGTAGGGTTTCTACTGCATAATCTGCTGCGTCATCCCAAGAAATCATGGGAGGTACAACTTCCCTATTCCCCATCGGCAGACCATATACTCTATGAAAGTCAATTGGTGATATCTTCATGCGTGTCCCGTCAGGTAGCTTGAACGATTCTTTCATTGGATTGTATTTGTTCATTACGAACAGAGCAAAATGATTGTTTATCTTTGTCTGCCTGATTGATATTAAGCCTGCTAGGCCTAATATCTCAAGTTGCGCTTTTCGTTCATCTGTTATTGACCTTGCAATTGCAGATATTCTTGTTGGGCTGCACCTTGTGCGAAAACTTTGTCTTGGTTTTACCATAGTGTACCTGAATGTTGAAATTAGTAATAGTCTGTTAGTATGCTTTTTACCATAATGGTTTCCTACCATACCTAATCAAATCATATATTTATCACATTTTACCATATGGTAATTACATGAAACCATGTCTTATAAGATCTTACCATATGGTAACGAAGTAAAACACAACATGACTTATGTTTTCCTCCATTTTTACAACATGAAACCATAGCTTACCACACATTACCATATGGTAACAAACTAAAACACATAAGGACTTATGGTTTTTTGCTATTTTACAACATGAAACCATAGCTTACCATACATTACCATATGGTAACGAACTAAAACACAGAAGGACTTATGTTTTTTTGCTATTTTACAACATGAAACCATAGCTTACCACACATTACCATATGGTAACGAAGTAAAACACAACAAGACTTATGTTTTCCTCCATTTTTACAACATGAAACCATAGCTTACCACACATTACCATATGGTAATAAACTAAAACACAGAAGGACTTATGGTTTTTTGCTATTTTACAACATGAAACCATAGCTTACCACACATTACCATATGGTAACAAACTAAAACACAGAAGGACTTATGGTTTTTTGCTATTTTACAACATGAAACCATAGATTACCACACATTACCATATGGTAACAAATTAAAACACAGAAGAACTTATGGTTTTTTGCTATTTTACAACATGAAACCATAGCTTACCACACATTACCATATGGTAACAAACTAAAACATAGAAGGACTTATGGTTTTTTGCTATTTTACAACATGAAACCATAGGTTACCACACATTACCATATGGTAACAAACTAAAACACAGAAGAACTTATGGTTTTTTGCTATTTTACAACATGAAACTATAGCTTAACACACATTACCATATGGTAACAAACTAAAACACAGAAGGAGTTACGGTTTCTTGCCTTTTTATAACGTGCAATCATAGCTTACCAGGCCATACCATGTGGTAACGAAGCAAAACACAACAGATTCTACACCAGTTCAGCAACGCATGCTAACGATTCGGTAATGTAGCGAGTTTTACTACAATTTTCACATGAAAAGTGACTGAAATACTGTTTCTATTGTTCTATGGATGGATTTCGAAGAAAGAAGTGAGGTTTTACCTTGATATTTTGTGCGAAAACGATTTTTGAGCCTCGTTGAAGTTGGAAACCCTTCGTTTTTCAACGAAGAAGCGAGAACAGTGAATCGTTGAATGATTCTTCGAAAACCTTTGCGAAAATCGTTGAATGATTCTGTGTTTTCTGAAGTTTTTGGTGCCCGATTGGATGAAGAATGGAGAGTTAGAGAGCAGAGGGAAGTGCAACTGTCGCGTGAAAGGTAGAGAAAGAAGGAAAGAAGGCGGGCACAGTTTAATGTCACGTCTCCTTTTCAAATTGTCAGATGGAAAGATTACTATTTTGCCCCCCCCCCCCCCCGTGTAGTTACTTTTGCTTGATCTGACGGTTGAAAAGCGGATGGAATGGACGGTTGATAGGGCGGTTACTGATGGTTACTGATATATTGGTTACTGAGGGGATCCGGACCTTGTTCCGGGGGAAGAAGAAGAATGAGGAGGAGGAGGAAGAAGAAAGGTAGGTCGCCTAGGAAGATAATGGAGGCTTGGTTTTTTTGGGAAGGGTACGCTAGGATTGGCTGATTTGGGGGGGAAAATATAACAAATAGTCACCCACGGGACTCGAAAGGTGGGCTAAATTAATAAAATTCGTGATAAATCGCGTGTAAAACACTTTTCTAAATCAGACCGAAAGCTACTAATTGTTATTTTCTTGATTTGGGCCTAGTAGTCACAACCCCCGTTGCACAAAAAAAAAAAAAACCCAAACTAAACACATTTTTAGCCCCTGTTTTCATTAATTTTGATAGTTGCAATTAGGGCTGCAAACGAGTCGAGTCGAGTTTTTGCTTAGCATGAGTTCGACTCGTTTCTAAATTTTTTAGCTCGAGCTTGGCTCGAACTCGAATTTTGATCATCTAGCTCGAGCTTGACTCGATTAAAAATAATCCAGTTCGAGCTTGACTCTGTAGAGCTCGGTAAATGCTCATTAACATAGCTTGTCAAGCTGAGTACAAGCTCGGCTCAAGATGAGCTCGATTTGAAATCATTCTTCCTAAAAATGTGTACAAAATAAGAACTTAAATGATAAAAAGAACACTAGAAACTAAAAATAACAGCTAACTTTCATACACATCCATATTAACAAGATAATGTTCATGTTCAGAAGAGTAATTAATCCTTCCACAAGCTCTAAACAAGTCAGTTCGTGAGTTTAGCTCAACAAGCCACCGAGTCAAGCTAGTTCACGAGCCTATCAAGCTGAGCATGGTCTAGCTCAAACTTAGCTGGTTTACTAACGAGTCAGCTCGCGAGGGGGCTTGTTAAATAACGAATCGAGTGTCGAATGAGTTTTTTCCTGTTTCGAACGCCGAGTTGCTCGCGAGCGGCTTGGCTCATTTACAGCCCTAGCTGCAATTAAGGATGGCAATGGGTCGGGTATTGCCAAATCCATACCCGAACCCATGGGTTTATCTGTAAAAAAAAAAAAGGGTAAACCCCACTTGGTTTGGAAAACTCAAACCCAACTCAACCCGTTGGGTATCCGCGGGTTCATGGGTACCCATGGGTTTTTGTGGTAAAAATTTTAGGCAAAATACACTTGTATAGCCAAAACTTTGACGGTTTGGCCAAATATAGCCACTTTCGGCGAAATACCAAAAATAGCCACTTTCGTCCAATTCTTTGACGGTGTGAGTTAACGTGCTGACTGGACTAACGGATCGTCCTATCTGACAATTTTTGTTTGGTACGTATTTTCCACGTGGATTTAATTTGAAAAAAATAAAAAAATTTGAAGAAAATGGAAAAAGACAATCTGCCTTTTCCTCCCACCTACCCACCCACAAATTTACCTCCCTCCGCCACTGCACCAACTTCTCGTTCACCCACCATCGTCGACCCTCTCTTTCTCATCCTCAGCGCCACAAAAATCCTTCTCTCTACGATCCCCTACAACCATTCCAATACGTAAAACATCAATCTATCTCCCGATCTCCCTCAATCTTCCCCAGGCGCAACTGCTCACCGTTGATTGTCAGCGGTAGCTTTGAAAATCGCCCAGATCTGAAAATTATCGCACAAGAACTTGCTTTAAGAACTTGCTCCACCTTCTCCAATTGATTCTCCTCCACCGAAATCCTAGTTTCCAGTTGTTTTATTTCAACCGAAGCAGCAACCTACTTCCTCTCGCCTCGCCGTAGCGGCGACGACGGATTTTGGTTCTCGATTTGGAGCCGGACAGCGATGGAAGTGAGTTCTCTGAGCTTGATCTCGTAGCCATCGCGGAGGTCGTACTGTTGAAGAGGAGGAAGTTGGGAGGATTTGAGAGTCGTACCATGGGAGGAGTCTGGATTCCGATTTGATTGCGAGGTGTTTGGATGAGATGCGAGGGCTGCAATTGGAGATGCGAGGGGCTGCAATCAGAGGTTTTGGGCTCCGAAATCCACCGAGAGATGTTTCGCTGGATCAATCTCGGAAAAAAAACGGTGGGGTGGAGTGGAGATGGTTTTGCATCTGATTTTAGATGGAAAATTGTGGTCGACGGTGAGGGGAGGTGGGACAATTTTTTGGTTTTTTTTATAAATGATTTTTTTGTTAATAAATTAATTAAATATTTTTAAATAAAATCTGACGTGTCACGTATATGTGGCAAGTGTTGGTGAGTTGTCAATGATGTTTCAGGTGAGTTGGCAGCCAGATCATCGTTTCGTTAATTTGACTAACGGTGTTACTGATGTCGTCAAACTATGTAACGGAAATGGCTATTATTGTCATCAAACTTTCAAATTTCTGGCTATTATTGATATTTCTCCAAAAGTGGCTATTATTTTCACAACCGTCAAAGTTTTGGCTACACAGATTAATTTTGCCAAAATTTTACAATAACAAGTTCCTATCAAAATAAAATTCAAACATCAATATTCTCATACCTAAAACACCTATCTAGAAAATTCAAACAAATCACAATTACACTAAATAAAAGCACACGGAATAAGTGTAGTGAGAGTTAGATCGGGGTAAATTAGAATTAGGGTAGAGTTTGGAGAGCGTAATGTGACGTAATAGTGCTGGCGAGTGTCCATGGATCGGGTATTCATGAATCGGGTACATTAAAGTATTAAACAATGTACGAGTTTAAACCCGAACCCAACCTCGTAAATACAGATTTTACACCGGATTGAATCGGATATAATATCCGTGGGTTCGGGTTTTATTGTGCGCAATAGACAACCAAAACGAAACTAAACAGCACAACTTGAGCCCATTTCCCCATTTCCATCCCCACATGCCACAGACGCGGCGCGTAGTCTCATCTCTCCCCTCCGCCTTCTCTCGCAAGGAATCAACTAGAAAAGATTATTTTTGCAAGAACCCGCGCGTTCTTGTTCTCCGACCACCGCTCTTTTCTACTGGCGACACGGCGGACGAAACAAAACGAATTAGGTCGCCGGTCACGTCTCCCTCCCTTAATGAACACCCATTAGTCCGATTCCAAGTTTCGCTTCTCGTGGCCGCCTGTAGAATAGCTTAGTTTTGGAAACTTTGTCCGTCCGCCGCCGTTCCCAGCTTTTTGTTCACCAGTGGCTGAACAATATTCTTCGTCCTCATTCTCGTCAATGGCGAGGCGGGAAGAAAAGCACGATGAAGTGAGCAGCGGCTTGCTCGATCAGTTCTATGCGCAGTACAGCACTAGCACTAATCATAATACCCAAAATCGTACGAGGCAGCAGCAACAGTCGCCGCCCCCGCCACCGCCACAGCCAGCACTTCAACCGCATGGTACGTAGATTATGGCGATTTGGGTCAGAAACGTTAGCGTTGAGCTCTTCCAGTCCCATTGAATTAGGACGTGACATTAGGGCAAACCGGTTGCAATTTGATTACAATTAGATTATGGCGATTTGGGCCTTTTAGATGCTCATGGAAATGGAAAGCTCATTTGAGCTAAGCTATGAGGCTACATTGTTGTTTTATGACTGGAATTCCACAGACAGTTTCTGCTGGTTGATAGAGTTCTGAAATCAAGACTAATGTTGAAGAAGGAGTGCATGTGTTCATGTTCCCCTGCTTTCCTGGTTCTGTGACGGATTTGTAATAGGAGTACTTGATTATTGTGACTGTATTCTAGGCACCCCGAGCTCCATGGCTTTCAATTGGCAACTTGAATCGCTTCTTAAGGTACCCACTTGTTTCAGAATGTCAAACTTTCTTTACATTTCTCTGTTTTTCATGGTCATGATGAAATGAATGTTGTCCTGATTTGGGTTAGTTGCAAGCCGAAACAGCAGAGGTGACGAGGATGTGCCAAATGGCGATAAATGTATTCAGACAGATGAGACTGTTACTCGATAGAGTTCTCAATTTTGTTTCTTCAATTTCACTCCTTCGTATAGCCCCAATCTTCTGATTGACTTTTTTATCTTATGGGTTTCCAGCAGAAGTCTGTTGATCATAAAACCATGGAAAATCTGTCATATTGTTTGGAATTCTTAAATCACCCAAACAGTGATAAATCCATGGAAAATTTGACAATGGTCAAGAATTGGGTTTACTCTGTACTTCAACAGTCAACCCCAAGAAAGCCAGCTTCTCCGTCGTTGAATTCAGAGCAATCTTCTTCTTCTAATATGCTTCCAGCAGAAGATGCTCGGCACCCACATTTCCAGGTCTCACAGGGTTTTCCAGATTCAGGACATGGAAAATCAGTACAGCCTCCAGCTGGTAGTTTTTGTGGGTCAATTGTTAATAATGGCTTCTCACTGCAGATGTGCGCGAATACACCAGACCAACGTATTAACACAACCTCTCACTCAGGATCTGTTCCTCCCAAGCGTGGGCGTCCAAGGCGCCTACAAAAGTCAGGGGAAGCAATACTGCTAAAAAAACCAGAGAAGAAAGCTCAGAAACGCCAAAGAATGCTGGATGTCAAAGCGAAACAGGAAACAAAGCGGCAGCAGCAGCCGGTTTTTCCTAATGAAAAGCCACAAAAATCTGTGAATGAGAGAAGTACTGGGACAGCAAAGGTTCAACACCAGAAGCCAGCTCCCCAGAATGCAGTTGTGCATAATCAACATGTGAAGTCTGCTACACAACCACCTTCTTCCTTTGATTCAGAGCTAGACAAGTCAGGCAAAGTGGCTCATCATGCTTTTGCTGCTACTGTTTCGGGCAGGAAAGTGACAGAACAACCCTTCAGACACTTGGTTAATTTGGTATGTAATTTTCTTTAACGTCAATCTTACTTTCATTTCTCTTCTCATTTTTCTATGTAAGGCAGGAGAACCTGGTGAAGTCTAACTCGTTTGAATTTTGCAGGTTCAGCTGATATCCCGGGAAGCATTAAGTGCTGCTGTGGAAGAGATTTGGTCCATTGTCAGCTTGAGTGACCTTGCCCCTGGGGAGATGAGGATGAATCATTGGGGTGACGTAGTTTCTAGTTCCTCATTTGATACCAGCATATCAACTGCTAGGATTGAGGTACATGCCTGCTTTCAAATATGAAGATTCAGGGGTTTTTTTATCGAATATCTTATAAAGAGGTTCGACTGTCCTGGGACATGGACAACTCCCAAGCAGAAACTTCACTCCTCTAATTCTGAAATATGAACTTACATATATTATGTTACAGATAAATCCAGCTCTTCAAGAAGAAGTAAGAGGGATAAATCAGCGGCTAGTCGAGACTGAGGTGGCTATTATTCTAGATGGTAATGCAAGGACCATAATGAAGTGCTCGTTTAATGCAGTCTCCATCTCGCCAATGGTACGCTTTTGCTCATATTGTATTTGCACCAACAGTCCGTGTCTTCACATTTGGCAATGTTCTTTCGGTGTTTTATGGTCCTTCACCTGTTGCAGCAACCAATTGAGCCCTTGAAATTGCTTGTCCCTGCAAACTATCCTCATTCCTCTCCTGTATTCCTGGAAACAATGCCAGTGGATATCAGGTTAGTCTCTGTAGCCCTCTTCTCCCTTCCGCTTTCCTTTGATATTATCTGCTCTTATGTTGTAATGCGAAAATGGGACAGTGGCGAGGATGATCTTTCTGTAAAAGCAAAATCAAGACTGAACCGGTGCCTGAGAAGTCTGCTTCATCCAGTGACGTTGGAGGACATAGTGCAGAGTTGGGATGTTTGTGCAAGACAAGTCATTACTGAGTATGCACTACAGAATGGTGGTGGGAGCTTCAGCTCGCAGTATGGGACCTGGGAAACTGTATGAAGTGATGCAGCCTACTAAAATGAAGAAAGCGAAACAGAAACAGGAAAAGAAGGCTTTCGTACAGAGTAAATACACATTGGAATTTTGATAATGCAGCTGCGAAATAGGGGATTTTGGGGTCTTTTTCTTTTATCAATAGATAGCGCACACTGTACATACACAGTTACTCTATCAGCGACAAGAAACGACAAATCGTAACCACCCGAACTCGAGTTTTTTTCATCTATACAGACTTCGAGTAATCCCAAGATTAAATCAGCCTGAACAATAGAAAATGAATTAAAATGCGATAAGATAGAGGTTTTTTTTTTTTTTAAAATATGGTGGGAACGGGTCGGACATGACCAAACTCATGAGAATCGGTGTCCATTATTTCTTTAGTAATAATTTTACAATGCTATATAACATTGGTGCTAAAGGTTTTTGTCTTTATGATACAACTTGAAATTGTATTTTAACGTTATGGTACAACTTCAGATTGTACCTATACTTTTTATACAGATTCTTTTATGGTACAACTTAAACTTCTACCTTGTGTGATGGTACAACTTCAAGTTGTAAAGTAGTACATAACATAATGATATAAATTTCTTTACAGTACAACCTAAACTTATACATTTAATGTTATGGTACAACTTTAAGTTGTACATTAAAGCACCAATGTTATATAGTATAGTAGAACTGCTCAAAATTCATGTGGATCTCTGTGCGGATTGGTTGTACCAGTGCTGTCAAAGCCGAACCGAGCCGGTCGGCCGGACCGCCAAAGCCGCCACCCGGCAGTAAAACCGGCTCGGATCAGCTATTTAACCGCCACGGTTTTATACAGCGGCCGGCGAGCGGCCAAAGCGGTTAACCGCTCGAGCCGCTCAAGCCGGTCGCGCGGTTCGGCCGTTTGGTTTACCCTAAAAAAAAAAAAGAATCGTGGAATTGGGCAGCCAAACAAAACCCTAACTTTCCTTTTATTTCTCCATCTTCGACCTAGAAGTAGAACAGACGACAGAGGGAGAGCGGCACCACCCTGCCGCCGTCAACCATCGCCCAAGGCCCCCAGCGCTTCCGTCCCATCGCCACAAGCTGCTCGCCGTCGCAAGCAGCGCGCCATCGCCAGTCGCCATCGTCGCTTCTGCTCCCCGCTCCCGACGCAAGCAACTCGCAATCGCCGCAAGCAGCGCCATCGCTAGTCGCCATCGTTGCTTCTGCTCCCTGCCATCGTCGCAAGCAGTCCCCTGCAGCCCTGCTCCTGCCGCAACATCTCCCCCAGCCACTGCCCTGCTCCAGCCATCTCACCTCCACAGTCCGCAACATCTCCCACCAGCCGACTCACCTCCTGCTCGAGGTAAGTTAATTTACCTAAAACCTAATTGATGCAAATTTCTGGTTGATATAATGTTAATTTGCATGATTAAGAAGTGTCTACTATTACAGATGACTGTTTATTAGGTATCGGTTCTCAAACGGTTTTTAAACGGTCTAATGTCGGCTGGACCACTAATGACCAAGCCGTTTACGTTAGTGGGTCATACTCCGGCTCGACTTTGACAGCATTGGGTTGTACCCTAAAGATAAAGCCGGTATGGTCGGACAGCAATACAGCATAAATGCAAGACACAGATAAATGCAAGCGCCTACTTCTCAACGTCACGGTGGCGGCTCTTTTAAGTCCCTCGCCGGAGCCGTCGCCGCAACAATCCATACCCTTCTCAAGAGTATACTGCGGTTCCTCTCCGCTCTCTTTCTTCCAATGTGACTTCTGGCAGCACAAACGAAACGACCTTAACTGCAATTCAGAATTCCGGGATCATCGCTTGCCTTCACTCCTCCAGGTAATTAATTTCTTTCTCACAAACTGAGTTCTTGTTTCTCCTCAGCATTCAATACTTGTCTTGCTGCCTGGTTCTTTGATCATGTTATGAATTTATGTTTCTCGGGTTTGTTTCCTTCAGTGCCTAGATTGCATTTGAAGCTGCTTCTGCTGCATTGGATGGCGGCATCTCAGTTGTGAGTCTCCGTATCTATCTTTCCTGTAAGATAATTATGAGCAGAAAGATTCTGGCTATCAGAATCCTCCTCAAATTACGATTAAGGAGGATTCTTTGATGGGTTATTGCCTATTGGCCTAGTTTGGTTTTTAGCTCTTTTTACAGTACACTATCTTCATGGTGCTATTTTTGATCAATTTGCAGTTGAAGATTCAATGTCCACCCGAGGTGTGTTTCAGGTTTTTGTATGAACTTTTCCCGGCTTAATTTTAGTTTCTTGTTTCTGTGTGGTGTTTCAATCGAGTTCCAACCTCTGTGCTTCTTGCATTGAATGGCTTTATGTGTTTTGAAACGTTTGGTTGAGGCATACCCTGCAGCATTCTTAGGGGCAAGATCCCTTCCTAGTTTGTTTGCAATTCTTTTTTCATGACAAAAATGTTTGCTTTTGTTAGGATGTTATGAATGTCGTTCAAGGTACTGAAATTCTTTGCATACCTGGTGTAATGACTCCAACAGAAGTAAGAAACATAGTTCGATTAGACTCCATTCAATTCAACTATTCTTTTCGCATTTGAATAAGGGATTGAAACTGTAACATATGCTTTTGCAGATATTGTGTGCATACACTGCTGGTGCTAGTATTGTGAAAGTGAGCATTATACAGTAACATCAAGTGAACCAATCGATTGAACTAATCCTCCAAACTCTGATGTGTTTTTTATGTGGTGAGAAATTGATCCTTTTATGTATTCTATAATCTATATATAAGTTGGATGCTTTATACAAGGAACATCTTACTGTAATGCTTACTCTTTTTATTCCGTTGAATTAGGTATATTCTGTTTCTGCATTGGGGGGAGGCCAGTAACATTGCATCCCTCAAGAAGCCTTTCCCCCATATACCAATGGTTGCTTGGCAAGGAATAACAACAGGTTTTACGCCCTTTTTTCTGTACGAATATTGTGCTTCCGGTGATTTTCAGCACTGTTTTCTTGTGCAGTATTTTCTATGGTGCTCTGCTTGTCATTGCCTGTAAATTTGAATTTAATGCAGATTCTGTAAGGCACTATATAACCAGTGCAGCTTCAGCAGTCGTTCTTTCAGGTGCCACATTCAGTAAAAAGGCAATGCTGCAGAGAAATTACAGCGCAATACATCAACTAACACTTAATGCTTCTTCGCAGGGGAAAGAAGCTGTGCGCGGGTAGATGTGTTTTACTTGAAAGTGAAGATTCTAGGCAGGGCAAGCTTTTGAGTTTTCTGGTTTCTTGATATCGTGTCTGTTTGTAGTACTACTACAATGCTGCTACAGCAGCCATGGTCAGTACCTTCACATGCAAGTTAACTTCGAATTGTCGAAGTAGCCCTCCTGATGCTAAGAATACGATACCAGTTATAAACTGAGCAGAATACTTGGAATGCCATCAAAACCAAGATCAAGACTGCAGCCAAAAGTGTCAGCGACTGCCAAGAAGCAAACACATATTGCCCCATAAATCTCCCAATCCTCACCTTCCATCGTCCATTATAATACAAGTTCACTTCTGCAATCACGTCATCTAGAAAAGCCACTCTGGTCAGCCTAATCGACTTGCTCATCCCATTCCACAAATCTGCTGCCTCATCATCACTCTTCAAGTGATTCAAAACCACGCCCCTCTCCCTCAGCAGCTTCACATCCTCCCCAGTGTCAATGATCCCATTCATCAGTTCCGTGTATCGTGTGAAAACCAGTGGGCCCACTGATGCATTCGAGGCCTCGTATGCCACCAGGTTCCTCAGCACGACTTCTGTATTAACATCCAAGCTAACTATCGGCAGATGCAGCTTCGATGACTTGGTGTCGAAGCTAATGCTCGAGATACTGCTCACGGTTGGGACAATATGTACCCCGGAGCTTACGAGCTCTGTAACTGATGGGATGGTGATTTCTTCTAGCAGTGGAGGTCGATAGAAGTTGTTGTTTGAGTTGCTTGGCCCTGGTCTGCCGTCGTGGGGTGGTGACGAGAAGATGAAATACTCGACGGGGTGTCTAAGGATGGCAAAACCAGGGAGGAGATTGGTGAGGATTGTGAATGGCAACCTGAGAACGAATTTTACTGGTCTCGATAGCAGAAGTCTCTTGATATGATCTTTGTCTAGCTTGGAGGTAAATCTCTTAACTGATGTGAGGAAAACTCGATTTGATCTTTCGTTGTCGTTGCATTCTGTTGATGAATCCTCTGCTTGCTTTATTCGATCTGCAGCAGCTGTTTCTTCTTTTACTACCTGTTAATAGTTAAACTGAACTGATCAATCCGTATCCTTGAGTTTTTTTTTTCTAATCAATTTTTCCAATCAGTCCTCAAAATTTCAAATTGGACTAAATAACCCAAAATGTACCTGATTTGGAAGAATTGTTTGGTACAAGTAATCTAGCAAATGAGCAGAACATGAAACTTCCATCCCGCGGAAGTCATCCATCATCTTGAAAGGTGAAACCTCCCTGCAAAAACCAACCAACATTGCCCTAAGCTTCTCATCTCCCAGCTCCTGCGTCCCGTGTTGAACTTCGAGGATCTTACGTAACACGATCATCGGAATCTGATTCTCGAGCATCATAACGTCCCTGATCATCCCACTGTTTTGGCCCGATTTCACAACAGTCAACATCGATCCTACCGATCTGCCGTGATGCTGGACATCATGATCTTCAGTTGTGAGCCTTTCCTGGGTTTCAGGTGGTCCACGAAGGAGCTCTAGCAAGAGGGAGCCGTCGATGGCCATCATCCATGCCAGGGTCTCGTCACTGAAATCCAAGTACTTATGGTAGCAGTCTCGAATCCTGGCCCCGAGTTTCATCAGCCGCTCCACAATGTGTGGAAACCTGACAGGAGGCTGCAGCTGTCGTTGTAGCCTCCTGGCCGAGGAATGCTTGTGGCGAGCTGCCTCGTGCAACTCCGGGCGGTGGTGGTGGTAAGGTCCAATGGCGACTTGCTGAGGGGTGTAGGAGTCAGGATGTGTGGAGAGGAGGGGTTTGGGGACGTTGAAGATTCGAACGGTGAGTTCATCGTCGGAGTCTTCTAGGTCGACAATGTCTTCCAGGTGTTCTTGCTCCTCGAGGGATCGCCGGATGTTGATTATCCATCTGTGGTCGTCCAAGTTCTTGGGGTGTAAATTGGAGCACATGGCACCGGCGGCAGGGTGTTTCCAAGAGAAGGAATGAAATCTTTGTGCTGTGATCGTGGAGGGGGAATGTAATGTAATATCATCAACGTCGGTAGCAGTTTCCTTTTCTTGAAGAGCATTTAACGACGCGAAAAAACGTTCAGGGAAAGTAGTTTCAGTTTTCTTCGTATAGTGTCGCCATTGTTCATTCAGAGCTATCAGTTTCCACCGTTCCTTTTCCAGCACCCAATATTTTAGTTTACATATTGTTTTCCTAAAAATAATAAGTTGATTCGTAAACCTTTGAAAATCGAAAATTACTTTGAAAATCACCAATCCTTTTGAGACTCGTTGGTAGGGGTGGGCATTGGTGCGGTCAATCCGCACCGAACCGCTTTCGCGGTCGAGCCAAACCGCACCGCAATGCTTGCGGTCTAATATGCGTTTTGATTTTTGTGCGGTTTGCGGTTTGCGATCGGTTTAATCCGAAATCGCGCGGTTGCAGTCCAAAACCGCAAACGGCAAATGAATTCACTGACCATGGTGTCAACGTTTGGGAATCGCCCGTGTAGACAAAAAATGAAGCCAAACCGTATGATATAGAGAAACTCATTGCAAATAGTTGCCATGATCGCCACTCGGAGCCGTCTTCTATTATGGAGTTCACCAAGACAGCAGGTCCTCCGTCAACATGTGCAGAATCGACATTTTCATTCTCCGGAGGATGTCGATTTATCTTATTCGAATTGGACAAGAGAAAGTGGATTTGAGCTTAGAAATTAGAGGTTTATGAATTCTGGCGATGAATCGCCAGCGAAGGAGGAATGAGATAGTGAGGTAAAGTGTGAAATTGGACAAATGTCACAACAAAGAAACCAGAGACAGAGTCAAGTCTCTGTTCTCGTCTGGAACCAAGAAAACAGAGCATAAATAATAGGTGGGATGATGAGGAATCGACTTGGTTGTGGTGGTGACAAAGCAATAACCCATATGTGGAAAAGCTAATAGCTCAATTTGGATAAATAAGAGAATGAAGGAATGATTAATTTCCGCCACTACCATTTGAGATTTCATTATCATGAATTAAGTTATCATCATCTTAATTAAATAGCGAAATCAATCCAAGCAGTAGTTCTTCATCCGAAGATGTTCAGAATGCTCAGCAGCACACCATAAGTCCATAATACAAGAACAGGAAAAAAAAATGGCAGGGAGGAAGACCGAAAACACAGAGCCACCGGAAAACTCACCGGCAAGGTCTCTGATGAAGCTGCGATGGAGGAGAAACGGGCACCGATCATCGTTTGTAGTTCCTCCTTCTAGCTCTATGGATTCGTATGAGATATGAATGAATAATCTTTAATGAATTGCGGTCAAACATGCGATGTGGTCTAAACCACAGCAAACCGCTAATCAATGCAATTCGGCTTGACCGCACCGATTGCATTGCGGACGAACATGCGGTGCGGTTCAATTAACATGCGGTGCGGTGCGGTTTATATCAATATGGTGCGGTGCGATTTGAACCGCACCAATGCCCACCCCTACTCATTGGTTCCTTCGTTCTGGACTCTCCCTTGGCCGAATGATTTAAAGTTGAAAATCTGTAACTAGTTTTAACAAAAATGAAAATTAAATCATACCATTGTACGTGTACTAGAGCGTTGAACGGTAATTAGGCCAGCATGATAAGGGCTCGCCTCAAGCACAGTTTGAATGGCGTCGTGCATACTCGTGCTTATGTGGTACTTAATGAAAAAGAAAGAAAATACAAATGGGAATGACAGTGGCGGATCCAGGGCTGGGCCAACCCAGGCCCCGGCCCAGCCCTTCTCCGAATCCAGAGTTAGTTTAGTGCTTATCAATTTTTTCGATTTAGGTATTTGGCTCGGTGCTATTTAAAATCTTGTCTAGTTTTATTTGATAATAGGATTTTGTGTAACTAGGAAAATGGTTCAGATGAACATATCCAAACCATCACTCTAAATTTATACTAAATTTTTTATATCCCAAATGATTTTATTTGAAAAAAGACATGAAAACCTAAAAGTGTAAAGTTTCATTAAAATAAAATAAAAACTCTAAACTAAAGCACACCCTTCTTTGCAAAATTCAAAAAATTTCTCAATCCCCCAAAACAAAACAAGAACGAGGAGACGAGCAGACCCAAAATGGATTTCTCCGCCAGCCGGTCAAGCTTGTTTTCTTTCCATTCTTTTGATTTAAGAAAATATTTACAAACTTGTTGAGTTATCATTTAGATTGCCTCAATTGAGTGGGGGCACTAGATTCTACCGTTCTTTATGGTGTTTGATGAAGAAAATATTTACAAACTTGCTCAAGAGTTTAGCCTTGAGACTTTGAAGGCTATGAGATGCATTCTTTGGAGAATGCACTACTCATGTGAGGAAGATGAAGTTTCTTCTCTTGCAAAATTATTAGAGAAGCGGGAGGAAACAGTCAAACAGGGATGAACACACAATACAAATTGATTTTATCGGTTGATTTGTCTAGTGTTGACCTAGCCGTTTCAACTTTCAACAACTACCATGGAGAGGATATTTTCGGCAATGGAACATGAACATTGATTTGTGCAACAAAATGAGCGATGAATTTCTCGTTGATTACTTAGCTATTTTCTTTGAAAAAGAGTATATTATCAGTATGGATGGAGATTATATTATTGATGAATTTGTTAAATTAAAAGACCTTCTTGTACAATTGGCATTGTAATGAAAACTATATTATTATATATTTTTGTTTATGGTATCTAATATTCTATTCAAATGCGGCCCAGTGCTCTCTTATGTCCTGGATCCGCCGCTGGGGAATGAAAAAGGACAACATTGGACGGAAATTATCTTATATATGAAATGTGGGTACGCTTTATTGGCCAAACTTCTCTACTACTGTTTCATTATTTGGTGTTTTGTGGGTTGGGATTGAAAAGCTTCCCCTGCATCAATTTCGTTGCCCACCCCGACCCAAAAAGAGCTCCCGTCTGGCTGTCTCTCCCGTCCTTTCAACTCTCAAATCTCACCCCTGCAGCAGCCAGCCATGCTTTCCGTATCCTCAATCCCTTCACGACCTCACCACTAAAATCCGCAATCCAACCCAAAACTTCATCCTTATTCGTCCTCTCCACTCCAGTGTGCTTTTCGAAGTTTAGATCTCCTCACGCACGCCACCGCTGCGGTCTCTTCAGAGCTACAGAAATACGCCATCGCCCATTGATTAAGAGAAGAGTTTTCTCCTTTGTTCGCCCCACCTCAGTCAATTTCATCTCCGCCTCCTATTCAGTTCCTTTTCTTTCTCTGTTCCCGATATTCGTATCCAACTGTGCGTCTAACCCTCTCTTCCATCGCTACCTCTTCTTCTCACTCCCGATATTCATATCCAATTGTTTCTCCCAATAACGACGAGGGGACCAGGGTTGGTCTAGAGAAAGCCGAAGCCGCTGTTGGGGGTTGAGAAAGCCTTCTCTTTGGTTGTAAGTAGGTCACAGATTCTTTCTTCATTGTAGCTTTGATTTTCCCCTGTACTTTGAACCCAGCGCTAAAACATATTGAGAGTTGAGCTTTATTTATGAGTCTATAACTGAGTGATTAGGGATGCTTATAATACCCTCTATGCTGTGTTTGTCCATTTTATTTTGGATTTTGACTTGAGTTTAGTCTTTGGCTGATGTATTGAGGGATTATTTTGCAGATGAAGGGCTGGCTGGCTGGGAGCTGAAGAGAATTCTCGAAGACTAAAGGTTTGTTGGCTTAGACTTTAATATAGGACACTATTCTTATTATTAATTTATTGTAAGCCATTGTTGTTCGCTGTTGTTATGGTAGATTATATTAACTGAGATCGGCACTGATTACCGCTTTGGCCTGCAGTAAGGGAAAAGATGTAAAAGATTGGACAATGGAGACGAGAGGAAGGAGGAACTGTAAAAGGATCTTCTTACACGTATTGGGTTAGGGAAGCAACGGCGGATGTCGCTCCCGTCCCTATTTCTAAGAAGCTCTGCGTTGAAAGGTTGACTCTTCTCAACCAAAGTCTACTCCCCTTGCCTACGTATGTAATCGGGTAATCTTCTATCTATTCCTTCCCTTACCTTATATTTAGAGTTGAGCTTGGAATGTATAGATGAATATGCAATTGGATTTCAATAGATATAGGGTACCAAGGAATTCGTTAAATTGGTTGAATGATATGCTTTGATTTCGTTGTTCTCTTAGTGGGTAGATTCCATAACAAATGAAAACCTTACCTGGCTATCTTTTTTTTTCTCCTTATATTCCTTCTTTGTATGAACGATTGTGATATCTTATTTTGCATAGTGATTTGACTTTCTGCTATGGCTTTGTCTAGCTAACCTTCTCTTAGTTGCAGTTCTAATAGTGGCATCCAATTGTTGTTGTTGGAAAAATGTTAAGCACCGTTAATCTTCTTATGATGCATGTGCTGTCTGCGATGCACTCCAAATGCATAAACATCAGTTGCTGCAGAGAGTTCTGGTGGTGAATTTGGTATTCTGGAAGCCCATAATCACCGAATCGACCAAGTCAAATAGCAAAGTTGAAAAAGAGAGCACGCAGTAAGGTATTTGCCATCTCCACCTTTTCTTCATATCATAATTATCATATTGGATAAATGGTTTCGATGTGTATAGCACTTAAATTGACTATGGAGACAAATACTACTGGATGAATATAGGGAGCATGGAAGGAATTACCTGACTTTTGGATCTTACACTTTGTGCGATGAAATACTCGGGATGAGTTTGTTTTATATTTTCTAATGTGGTGTCCTAGGTTAATAAATGCTTAATGGTCAGCGCAGACAATGAAATCTCCAATTGCTTCTTAAAGAAAATGAGCATTACTTCCTTAAAATTCCTGTGTGCAGAGTGATGATGTCAAATACCCTTCATTTACAAACTAAAACCTCAAAAGTTGACTAGTTTTGGCACCTGGTAGTAATTTGTTCTCATGAGTCATGATGCATTGTTTTTTAGGGTTGGTTTTCTTCACCATTCAAGGGTGGAATCCAGCAACCTTTAGTACTGTACTACAAGTGGGTGCTGATATGATTCTAACAACATTTCCTTTAGTTACAGTGTGTCTGTGCTTCTTGCTTTGTGACTGGTAGCTTTGGAGAGGTAATTAGAATCGATGGTCAATTTTGTCCAGCACTAAATTAGAAGACTAGAACCCTTTTTCTTTGGAACTAATCTTCAAGTACCAAGAATTTGAGAATAATAATCAGTACTAGAAAACATGCTTGCTGGAGCAGATTCTACTAATTCACTTCTTCCTATCTTAATTATGCTTCCTTGGTCTAGGTTTGGTCCATCGTGTGGACATGGTCCAAGTCATAAGACGGAAAATTTTGATTCAAATGCAAATAATTAATGGTTTTGTGCCCGTAAAAACAATACAATTACATGAATCTGCAGTTTCTTTCGTTTTCTTTTTCGTACAAGTGATCTGATAAAAATTCATATGCTAATATGGTAGGCTAAGATTGATGCCATTGCTTTTATGGTATTGTGTATATACATATATACTTTTATTAAAATGCAGAAGTGACCCTTAGCCTTTAATGAATTCTGCATACACTAATTTCCGGGAGATTTCAAGTTCTTCTGATGAGAATTCTTATAAATTGTGTGCATATTTTTTTTCATTGTTAAGTTGTGTAGAGAAGTTGGTAGAACATGCAATGTTATCAACGATCATACTCCAAACAAGGCGATCTGGGATCATGATGTCATTAGAGCGAACATAATCAACACAAACAGTTCACCTCTCTTAAAGGTAGTTATAGTGCATTGGATATCGCATTCTTAAGCTTTTGGTCATTGCAACTTGATCAAACTTTTTAAAAATGACAATTGTTCTTGCCTCTTAGACACAAGGAGTCGTCTTGCCTCTTTTACTGAATTCTAACCTGTAACCTGTAACCTTGATATCCATACTTTCTTGGATACACAAAACAAAAAACAAATTAGAACAAGAACAAAATTTTCTCTGAGTATGTTTGCAGGTTAGAAGGAACCATATTGATTTGCCAAGTTGTACGAGTGTCATCTAAAAAAGAGTGCAATATTGAGGGTTCAGGAAGCTGAATCCTTTTTTTTTTTTTTGGTTTATAGGTTCTGGTGTTGAATGCAAGATATTAGTGCCTTCTCCTTCAATAGTTCTCTCGGTAAGATCACCATTATGATTTCTATTTTTCGTGTTGGCATGTAATCTTAAGGCATGTGGTTTAGAGTTTGTCTCTTAAGTAGGGCGCTAGACTTTACCTGTAAATTGTGCTCAAGTTAGCACCATCTGCTATCTAACAAACTTGCACTGTCTTTCTTTCTCGCAGTTCTGTTCAAGGATTGGTTGATGCAAGGACTCAAGATAAGTAGAAGAATTGGAAGGCATGAGTAAGGTTGGAACGATTGATGAGTCGATTCTGAGGTTGGAACTATTTTTCTTTCTTGCGGTTCTGTTCGAGGATCAGTTGATGCAAGGACTCAAGATAAACAGATTCATGGAAAGACATTAGCACGGTTGGAACGATTGACGAGTCTAACATTGCCTTGCTAATGTATTTTCCATGTTAAGTTTTATTGGTTTCATTCGAGTATCTCTTTTGTTTAACGTGCCAACTACTACATGTTGGTCCATGTGTTGAAATTTTCAGTAGTTATTGTGATCTTTTTTATTGTTTGACCCGTAGCTTAAAAGAGTTCTATATTTTTTTGTGGATTCTCTAGGAAGAGTACCGTAGTCTATAGTCTTAGTTCTCTTTGTTAAACATTGAATTCTATTGACCAATAAACATTTTGTTAATATCATGATGACATATTAGGATTGGAGCATTTATTTGCTTACTTTCATTGTAAGTAACACATGTTTTTTAGGCAGAGGAGTGCTTTAGAGAGTTTGTCCCCATATTTTTCAATTGCTATAATTTCTTTGTACATTTATTTGCTTACTTTCATTGTAAGTAACACGTCTTATCGATTTGAATATTGCTTCTTTTCTAATGAAGATTGTTCAAATTTTACCAAGATTTATTTGATGTGTGGAATAATTAGTTTCATCTATAAGAGGTATTTCTCGGGTAGTTTCAGTATGGTTACTGCTTTAAAATATATTAAACCCAACTAAATCTCCTGCGGCGTAGCCGCGGGTATTGATACTAGTGAAAATATTAGTTGAGAAGACTTGAGAACAAAGTAACGGGCAGAAAAAAATTGAACGTATGTGATGACCCTTCTTCTGTCCTTCCAGAGCTCAATTTATTATTTGCACTTGTGTTAAGTAACCTATATTTCCATTGGTGGAGAATTGTCCAATGAACGAGCGACACGTGTATCCTAGAGCAATCAGAGGTTTGAGTGAAATGAAAGAGTTCGATTTAGAGTCTTCCTTCTTGTCTCGTGGTTTAGGTTCGAGTCTGGTTGATGTAGAAGAATAAACCTTGCAAGTTTCTTCTGTTAAGTAGGAATACATATATTGTTTTCACGGTCAAACTAACTTCAGCAACATGTTAAAGTAGTTTCTGTATTGTTTTATGAATTTGATTGTGAATGACGACATCTCTTGACGTAGAAACTACTCTTGTTGCTTCAAATCACGAGGGCAATCTTTTCATTCGCACTAACAAGGTTTACTTCATAGAATCTGGTGATCAGTTCCCAAATTGGATTTGAAGGGTGCACAAGATAATGAAACAGGTGACAATGAACTGCCTCTTAATCTGAAAACAATTTGTTTGCCTCCTGTTGATGGGATGAGGAAGAAGGAAGGCATGAAGTATTTATCTGATAGCATAATCAACACAGGGCAGTCTCCGAAGAAATGAAAGGCTTTCATCACAGTAGAAACAATAATTTGTATCCGCATAGACTTACAATGAAGTCGGCTCTGCAACCTGCTTAAGCACGACTTTTCATCAAACCCCTGGAGAAAAGAGACTATTCATCAAACAGTTAGTGAGATTGGTTAGATTATGCAACTTTGGTGGCTACTCTGTGAAATTCTTAACAGACCCAGTTGAGAAATTAAGTCTTATCCAAATCTGACGACAACCCAGTAAGATTCCGAGCTTCTTCTCAAACTGGGTACATTTTGCACAATCGCCCAATCACATCAAAGAACGACCATTTCTAATGAACAATTGGTGCACTCTAATCTCTTGTTGACACTGTGATAGATTCATGTCGACAAAATTAGTACACTCTAATCAATTTTCTGGTCATTAACAAGCTTTAATCCCCAACTCACATCTTCACAATGCACCGCAGGTGGGTCAAGCCCTACTCCAGTATCAACTACAACCTTGGCCCTCATATCATAGCTAGGAGGACGAAGAAAACAGGGTTCTGAAGAAACTGCCCGTCTACAAGCCGGTTCCAAAGGTTTCTCCACACTGTCCTTCGAGTTCGGAATGTTCAACATCCATGGCTTCAACCCTCCGATCCCTTGAGCCACATACCCAAATGTAGACCAAGGACTTGTCACTAAAACGTCACACAAGCTCAACAGATACATATCAACCAACGCCTTCATGTTGTGAGAGCTGTTCTTAGAGTGCTGGCTGCCTTCATGACTTGCCTGGTGGACACCAACCACTTCACCACCATCTACAGCCCCGCTTGTCCAGTACATGAACTTCATCTCCTCGTAGAATTCGCTGTACAGCGAAGCGATCAAGACAGCCTTTGTCGTAGCTGGCGATGCTGTCTTGTTGTAGCCGATCATGGCTGAAGGAGAAGTTGTTGGCTCTTGAAGTTGTGGCAGGAGGTTTTCCTTCTCTGTGCATTGCCAAATCTGCTTCATCACGAGGGGAATCGGGCTCGACGTCGTGTTGAAGACCCGGATCTGAAGACCGATTCTCTCATCTGCTCTCGCCAGGTAAGCATCGAAGAATCTGGTGATGAGCCCCCAGACTTGATTCGAAGGGCTGAAGAGATATCTCCCAAGGTGGTGGAAAACCGTCTCCCTGTCAGGAAACAGTCTCTCCAATTCCGGCCTGAAACGCGGCATCAGGTAAAGGTAAGGGATGAAATACTCATCCGATCTCAGAGTGAGCCAGGGGACTCCCTGGAGAAATTGCTGGTTCTCGTCCTCGAAAAAAAGCTTGTCGCGATTGTTGTAATTGAAGGAGAGATAGAGATGGAGAAATGATGGTGGTGTAGCCAATTGTGTAACATTGTTGTGTCTCATCAGGAAGTCGCCGAAGCTATGAGCTTGGCGGAATTGAGCGGTGTAGAACTCATTCCTGAAGGGGAAATCATCAGGCAAAAACCAGGTGGAATTCTGAAAGGGCTCGCAGAAGAGGCTGGCCATGTCGGGTCTGAAATCGACTAGAACGGTACGATTCGTGAGCAGAGCATAGAGGAAAGCAGAGGAAAGGCCCAGCATTCTGTTTCCTAGGCCATGTAAGTTAACTGTGTAGACTACGTATCTGCAGGGATCGGAATCGGTTTCATTGCTGGGAACATTCTTCCCGGTGACCAGCACTTGTAACGTTTTGTTGAAGGGTTCAGAGAAAGGCTCGCAGTTTTTGTGACGACGTTCATAGTCACTGAGCTTGGAGAGGAAGTAAGGAGATGGAACAGGGGATGGAGATTTGTGGTAAGCGGCCTTCTGCGACCTGCTGATACAGGATTGATCTAGTGGTGGTTCTTGTACAGAGGAAGAGTTCTTATTATCTTGGATGGGGAAGAAGAATTTCTGGGTAAGATTGGAAAATGGGGTTGGGAATATGATGATGCAGGCTATGATTAAGATGGACATGGCAGAGAGAGCAGTTACCGCCATTGCTGTGAACTTGTAGGAGGAGGTGGTGACTTCCACTGAACTTCTCCCCATTATCTGATGAAGTTAAATTGGACTTCTCCCCATTTGTCTCAGAATTTGTAGTGTTCACATGAAGTGTTCCATACGAACTCTTTTGTGAATCCTCGTTGGAGTTGCCAAATTGTTTTGGTTTATTAATTTGTAGCTATACTAGGGACAGTTTCTTCGCCGGCAATGACTTCTTGGTTCTCAAAAATTCTCCGGCTCAAGACCCATCAATAATAAAATCTGGACCATTTAAAAAATTCAGATTTAAGGATGGAGAATTAATGATCATTTTTATTTTCCCTACCTTTCTTAATTGACTGCATACCATATGGTCTCTTCTTCGTTTTTAATTCGTTTTTGAACACGTTTGCACAACAGGGACGAGTTCATCATGATCTATTGGATCTACAAATTTCTGGGTGAACAAATTACAGGACCAAAAAATACACACAATACCATACAATACCACCCGGTACAGGGTGGTATCTTATGGTATACAATGTTAAAAGTCGTAAATGACAATTAATATACTTCTACTATCATGTATTCAACCATCCTACAGTTTTGGTTTGTGTCATACCACCATGGTACCCTTTTTAAACCATAGGTATGCTCTTATTTCAATACCACTCAATACCATATGGTATAGACGGGTAAAAAAGGGCTCAATTTTTTTTTGTTCGAAAAATATATCAAAGTGGATATCATTTTGAAGAGCACAATTAACCTGTTCTAACTGTGCAAAAAAAAAAAATCTACTTAAAACGAGTGAGAAATCGTCCGTCAAAGATTAAGGAGGGGAAAATTAAAGGCTTTCCATGAGAGAAAGGATGATGATGTCATGCTGATGTGGACGGGTTACTCATGATTACTCACCATAAGGTTACTGACCTGACCCGTTTCCCTATTCTCCCCCGATTGAGTTTCCAATTTCTGTGAATCATATGGAGGGTGCATCATGAGACGGATTTGTTGGATGTCGAACTTAGGGGTCGTTTGCTTGTAGGATTTGGGTCATGGATTTGGTACCCAAATCCCAAGGTTGATGGATTTAACATAAGTCCATTATTTGTTGAAGAGTGCTAGATCCGTGGGGTCCACCGTTCACTTCATCTCCTCTCCAGAGCTTTGATTTCTTCCTCTGCTACTACCACCATCGCCGTCAAATTCATATCGAAGGGAGAACGACCCCTCTTCGCCAAAGAAATTGGGAGAGGATCTGAATGGGCCCATTCATAACCCGCTCGCCACTGTGCCAGCGCTCAATTGTGGCTTTCCTTTTCCAGATCTAGTCCTTCTTCTACAACAACCACGGTCGGCCCGAATCGATCCTCGCCCATGACTTCCCCTTCCCGCTCCAATGAAACAAGCTCACCGGACCCGGATGCAAATCTTGGCACAGCCCCCAGTAATTGTCCCCTCCCAGTCCGTGCTCGTTCCTCCGGTGATCCACCAACGCAATCTCCCCTGCAAAAACGAGCAGGAAAGGCGGCAGGGAACCCAGCTCGTAGATCCTCATCCTCTTCTAGAGCTCCATCCACTCCACGATCCTCCTCGTGTGCCCACCGATCCTCCACCGCACCAGATCGATCACCATCACACCCATGTTGAAGTAGCAGGCGTTCCTCCCCGTGAAAGTGAGCGACAGGGACGAGTTCGACCAGAAGGTCGGGGTGAAGTAAATGGTGAAATTGGCGTTGCAGTACTCCAACGCGACGGGGGGTTTTTCAAGGAGAGGGGTGGCAGCGAGGTCGGCGACGTCGTTGACACGCTAAAACACAACACCGAACTGCGACCAAGTGTAATCGCAATCCGGAAATGCAGTAACAGGCAAGCTCTAATTGTCAACCTGGGGTCTAGATCTACTGCCTACTCCATGAATATATGTTATCTAGCAAACTAAGTTGAGTGTTTGTGATTTTAATTAAAAGCAGTAAGAAAGCGGGATTCTCTCTCTAAAACTCTATTTTTTCTCCAAAAACTCGACTCCCTCTCCTTTGGCTTGAATCTGCCTCAAAAACCAGATTCTGGGCAAAACACGGTCGAGGGCACGACCGTGTTTTACTTTTTCCCGTCCGTGCCCTTGCCACGTGTTAAAAACACATCCGCGTCAGCCAAAGCACGGTCGTGCCTAAAGATGGACACGACCGTGTTTTGCTTCACATCCGCCTGTGTTTTAGACATCGCAGGAGCTCTCTTCAATCAAGCCTCGACATACAAAACACGGTCTGGGACACGACCGTGTTCTTCTTTAGGCAAGCCCGTGTTTTGCTTTTCCATCAGTTCAGCTCTCACACATAAAAACACTAGCGTGTTCGTTTGTGTACACGACTGTGTTCTTCAGGCCTCCTACCCGTGTTTTGCTCCCAGCTCGATCGAATGACCTCCAAAAGCCTCGAATCTCGTGCTTAGCATTTCCTTCGACGTTTGGGACCTGAAATATGACAAAGTAGCACAACCCAGCGTTAAACAGACCAAAAAATACACGACTACGAGCCGCAAACGGATAAGAACTAAGGGTGCAAGCATGTGCTAATACATCGTTATCAAATTCCCCCACACTTAACCATTTGCTTGTCCCCAAGCAAACCAAGTCAGACACAAGGTAAGCTCAAAACGTTTTAATCAAGCAGGCTTTAGGGACATATCATATCGGCACAAAACACGTGAATCATACTGGCTTTTGATCATTAACACATGGACAACCTCAAAGACAACCTAGACAACCACCACAGATGACATTCGAGTGCAGCAAAGTCGAGCAAAGGAAGAGTCTCCCTTCTGTTCACCAACCAACATAGACTTGACTTAACCACTTATTCAAGACAGTCACTTCATGCACAAAGCTAAAGATAACAGAATTAAGACCGAGCAATCTAGGTCCTCACCGGGGTAAAAAGTGTAGAAAATATGAGGAAATAAATCGCTCACTCTCGACCAGTGGGGCCAGGACAGAATTTGCATGCAAGATGTGCATACTCATACTCTCAATTCCTAACGTCTCTTCACCATGACGGCAGCCTCTAAATGTTAGAGTTCACATATCGGGTGTCACCACTAACTAATCCGGAGGTCTTAGACACAGGTTCAAATGACTGGCTAGGGTCTTGGACATGGGGAAAAAAAGCCTTTTAGGTGGTGGAAGTATTCATAGCACAAGGTTCCACAGTTCCAAACCCAACACAATCAAAGTCAAACAAACCAGTAACTTCCTTTCTGCTATTCTGCATTACTCAAATTCTTTAGAGCACAAGAGCGAAGGAGGTCACATAAATGCTAATATTTCCAAGCCAGACTGCTAAGAAACACTACTTAACGAGCATGATTCATAATTTTGGGTAGTGGCTCTCTTTTGCTTTCATTCATTTTTTTCTTTGTTCATTTTCTTTCTTGAGAGAACCACCATCTCTGCACATTTTTCAAACACATGCCCGTGTTTTAAGCATTACCTCCAACCCTCACATTAAATTTAGCAGAAACAGCAGAGAACATGCAAAAACCACTCTGTGGAACCTTCTAAAAGATGCAAAAGGGTGATTTTCCATTGTAGACTGAAAGGAAGAAAAGTACACGGCTCAAAGGGCTGATTAGGGGGTATGACACACCTGGACAGTCAATTTGGTCGTGGGCTAATCTTATGCCTCTATCATCTTAGCTAATGGCAACGTGAATTCTACACATCATGGAAGTGGGAACTATCGCATAGGAAAGAAACGAGCAGGCTCAAATCTCACATGGCTACCTATATGCTCTATCTCTCATTCTGATTCCTTGAACTAGATGCATAAATGACTGTCAAGAGCAAGTGATCAATCCAAGTCACAGTTGGTAAGCAAACAGTTGAAAAACTGAACCCCTACACGATTCTACTGCACGTCTCACTCATCATTATATGGTGTCCTAGTTACAATCAAGTTGTCATGCATTAATTCGAAAGTCATTCGATTCACCAATCAAATCCAGAGTGCCAATACGATCAAGCAAATAGCAATACTTGGAGCCCTCAAATCTCGAGATTTGGACAGCGGACTAGGCTCCAAGCATAGATATATATATATATGTTCCAATGAATACAAAGAACCCCCCCACACTTAAATGCGACAGTGTCCTCAATGGAGCAGAAGGAAGGGGAGCGATGTTACCGTGAAATGAGATCAGGAACGGGGACTGGAAGGCAGACCAGTCAATAGCAGGGGACTGGAAGGGGACCAGTCCAAGGCAGAGAGCTAAAGTCATCAAAAGACACACACTGGGTGAAACAACCAGAGTTCCATGTCTACAATCCAAAAGAACAAAACAGAAAAAACAACAAAAACATGAAGTCTCAGTCTGGAAAAGAAATGAAGTGCAGAACCAGCCACTCGCCACTAGAACGCATCGCCACCATCGTTGTTGGGTGGAGGGTACTCGTCCTCATACCCCGGTGACTGCACGAAGGGGTAGTAGACTGAGTTCGGGTCCAGCCCCAGGTAAGACATGATGTAGTGCTGGTCGGACATAAGACGACGGTCGCGGTCCCGCTCAATGATGTAGTGCTAGTCGGGTGTTAATGCTCTCCTGGCCGTCCAGAATGCGCTCGTTCTGCTGAGCAATGGCCGTCAACTGGTCAGTAATGGAGACCCCGGGAGTGGAAGATCCGGGATCAGTGGAGGGGCTCGCGGGGGCCTGGGCACGACGAACAGTATGGCGGGGAACCCGTCGCCCCCCAGCAGCGCTCGACTCTGCTGATCGTCCCCGGCAGGTTCAGGTGTAGGTGGCCGAGGGAGACCCGCAATCCATGCCAAACGCCCCTCACGCGCAAGCATGTTCTGATGTCGGAGGTTGGCCTCACTGAATGGGTCGGTGCTCGGACCAAGTATATCCCAGTGGTGTCGACCCCGTAGTAGCGGGCCAGGGCGGTGATCACCGGGCCACAGACAAGGTGGTGATCCTGGCTGGCGCAGGCCTTGGTGAATGTCCAGGCGAGCATAAAGCCCAGCTCGATAGTATCCTCAGAGCGACCCATCACGTGCATGAAGTACAGGGTCCGGAGGGTGACCCGGTTGGCCGAGCCCCGGTTGGGAGTGTAGGACTGGGTGAGCAGGTGGTTGAGGATCCGCCACTTCGGACGGAGGAGAGTGGCCCGCGTCTGGCTGTCGATGTACCACTCATCCGCATAGTCCGGTAAGCAGATGCGCTCAAAGTAGGCCTGGTCACCAAAGTTGGTGGGATCGGTCACTTCCACGATCAAGGGGCGGTCGCTGGGG